TTTTTTTATTTAGAAAAACATTAAACAAGTACAAAAAATCCAGCCTGTTGGCAATTTGTTTTGTTTTCTCTTTGAAGACAATGTATTGTGTGTGTTTGACCAGACGATTTCTAAAAGAAGAGCGAGTCTTTGAATTCCCGCATGAAGCAGGATAAAGTGAGAGAACTGCCCCGAGACGTTTGCTTTTAAACCATGAAATGCTCAGTGGCGTAATCTGAAGCATGTGAGAGATGCTGCCTCACTGAATAAACATAAAAAAAAATGTTGAAACCTTAAAGCGACGCACTAAATAAGGAGTTTTAAGAGCAGGCAGAGGAAATGTGAGGTCGGTATTAGAACAGCTGATCCACGGCAGGTCACTGAGACGCGGAGGAATGATGGTCACAGAGGTGCATTGAAGAGTTGTAGCCAAAGAAAAGTGATGTACACATCACTTCTCAAAGCCCAGGCATTATTATTCTGTTCTCATTCTGCTTTTCCTTATACAATAATATCCTCATATACAAAATCCTCCTAAAAATGCTCAATGTAATTTATGACTTTAAATACAGGCTAAGATTGTGTAATAAGGCCAGAAACCCGAGACCACAGAGAAGAAAGAAAAGACAAACTGCCTCATTTACCCACAGAGCTTAGCCACACATTTTTCACTTAAGACAAAGTCACACAGCTACCTGGAAAGTATCCATATTAATGTCTCCAGTACTCTGTGATCAATTTCTTTAATTATCTCAAGCGCCGGGCCCTAAGATATCACTTTCATTCTTTTTCCATATTTTCTTAAATGATCCCTGGAATCAGGGAAAGCACTGAAGATAATTCGTTCCCCTGTCGAGGAGATTATACGTTGGTTCGCCGGCTGTCTGTCAGCGGGATATCTGAGGAACCTTAGAACAGATTTCTGCTAATTTTGGTGGACAGGATAGCTGCAGGCCAAAGAACAGATGATTAGATTATGGTGGTGAGCTAGATCTAGGACTTGTTCAATTAGACAATTATCATTTTAAGCTGTAAAAGTAACGGAGATAGAGGTTCACTGTGTGGTGCCTTCTTTCTAAAAAATAAAATGGGGAAGAATTTGTCTGATGGAAGCTGTACCTTCTGTTTTATTTCACATTTCACTCTGGAGTGTTTCCAAATACGTCTTTGGTCGTCATAGTGCCGCTTAGCATTTGTTTCAGTAAAGTTTTAGACATAAGAAGAGACTCTTGTTTTTGTTTTGCTGCATATGTGTGAATGGGATTAGTGTTTTTTTTTTTTTTTAAAATGCCTTTTTTTCCTTCTCTGGAATATGTTATTACAGGGGAAAAGTGAGCTAGTACGAGGTATCTCAACAACTGCACTAACCATTATGGGAGTTTTCAGTTATTTTTACAATCCCCTGCTAGTTTTTAGGTCCGTGTGCGTGTGCCCTTATGAAAATATTTAAAAAAACAGAGGTTTTGACAAATTTCTTTGCAAAGCCGTAGTGTGGCATTTTGAGATTTAAACTTTTTTGGGTCGTCAAGTGTGGAATTGGAAGGAACAACTAGCATGG